GAATTTTAAATATTGACTTAATTCTCAAAAGATCTGTAATATGTTCGTTAAATTATGTTGGACATTTAGAGAGCACCTCAAACAAAATGCAATGCGAAATGAGTTTTAGTCTGATATAAACATTTTTCATTCATAGACTTCTTTTAGTAATTTCCCTTGAGAATAAAATCATGTGCTGATAATAGTTATATTTGTTCTGTTTTCTTATGTTTAAGTTTAAGATTTTTAATAAACAAGTAAATTTTGGTGTTATTTAGTTATTTAAGTTATAGTTATTTAGTTTAGTTATTAAAATTAGTTATTTAAGGTACTTTTTGTATGTATTGCAAGAGCAAGATAAAAATTTCCGTTATATCTATATATGAGAGTTAGTATAGAAAAAGTAAGACTAAGAAATAATGAATATTTTATGAGTACTTTCCCAGATGTAATTCTTATAATGCATTCTTTTCTTACACATATATATGTAGATAAAGATTTTTTGAAAAACTATCTAATTATATTGAATAAAAATTAATTAATCGAACACTTAATTTCAACCGGAATATATTTTACTAACAATTTATTTCTGTTTTTTAGTTTATTTATTATGAATGAGTAAATAGAACATAAGAAAATATTCACAAAAAATACGAAGCCCAAACAATGAAAAATAAAAAAAACGGTTATACATGAGTGTGATTTAAATATAAATACTTCTAGAGAAAAGTTTTATTGATTAAAAATAGCTTACTATTTAAGACTGTTGTTCTTTAACGTGAAGGACATTAAAATCAGTTTGTTATAGGGTAATTCTTAGCTGTTAATATGATTTTTAAAATTTAATAAAAAAATGCGTTTCAATTATATTACATTAAATACGTATTTAAGCCGTTTGTTAAAAAAACACACTTGTGAATTTAAAATCAAAACTTTGACAAGAGTGAGATTTAGAACTTAAAATAAAATTTAAAACTTAATATGGAACATTTTTTAAAAATCCAATGCATATATATACACTATTACACAAATTCACACATTTATGCAGCATAAATTATAAATTAAAGATAAGTATTGAGATTTTTACTTGTTTTGTGTGACTTTCACTCACAACTCATAACAATTTAATTGTAAAAAGTTTTTCTAGATAAGTGGCAATCTTTACAAAAACTTCTATCATTCTGTAGAATAAACAGAGCAATTTAAAACAGATGTTTAGTTATCTTTTTTATTTATTTTCTGATTTCTCATTTTCAGTTTGAAAAATGCCATTACTTCAAGTGCAGATGTTAAAACGGAGGCTCTTTTACATAGGAGATCATTTTTTCGTATTTACAATCACACACGCATCCAAGACTGTTCAAATGCTTTCTCTGCTTTTCATTGTGTTACGCTTTTAATTTGGCGCTGTTTAAAGAAGAAAATGAATTCTAAAGAATCATTTATTATTGTTGTTCTTTATTTGAAAAATGTATCAAATGTAAAAATTTATGAATAACTTTTAAATGTAACCGTTTCACTTTCATCATGGAAGCTAATTGCTTCCCATGAAAAAAAAATTAGTCAAAGTGTATATAAATGTTTCTTTAAATGAGGAAACAAATCCTTTCGAATAATATAAAATAGAAGAACTAACGGAAAATTCTAATCAAGAATATTGTGTTCTTTACCGCTTAGATATTTGTTTGCTTTTTAAACAGGAAACTGTAATGCTGTAATGGAAATTAAATTTACTAGAATGATGCATACTTTTTTGTATGATCTTACGAATATATTAAAACGTGTAACTTAATAGCTTTTGTTGTCCGAAAAATTAGCTTTTAATTACCTTTTTTATTGGCATATTTTTAACTAAATGAGATTTATAATGAAGTTTTAATAAGAATTTAATCACGTTTATGTAAACTAGGTGTTACCGTATTCATGGTACAAATTTTAAAGGTAGATACAGGACATTGTAACAGTCATTTATTGTATTGGAGTATATAGGGGCAAGTAACACGTTGAGCCACAAGCACAAAAAATAACAGACAAAAGAAAAGACAAATGGTTTATTGAAAGCTTCATTGGCAAGTGCAAGGCTTACAATAACTGTTCAGCACACGAGGTATAAAGTCCAGCGGCAGCGCACCTTACTGTACCCCCTACTGGCAGTCGGAGAAGATAGTCTACCGGGTTCAAAGCTTGTACTCGCTGAAAATGGAACATGTGTAAGCGATTTTCGTTTAACGCTCTACAAACGCTCTGACTTATGTGATGAGCAACATCTCTTGTACTTGACTCTGGTCTATGTGGCACAACGCTCAAGATGCTTTCTTCTAGGCTTGGATTACGTACAGTTCTTCTTTGGCCAGCATCATGCCTGATGACGTGGAATGAATGTGTTTCACGAAGTTGACTATAAGACTGCTGAAAAATTCTGTGATCCGGCATTCGTCGATCAGAAAACTGCGCGTGATGCATTCGTAGCTCATCATTGACATTGCCATTTGCACGCTCGTACATGTTATGCATGCCTGCATTTTCAGCGTACGCAAAGTCTCCCATCATAGACGTTAGCACAATTGTGAATGGTGCTTTTCCATACTGTGACGCATCATCTTGAAAGGTGGCTAGACATCTACTGCCCCCCTACCAACCAATAACTCCATTTCCCTTTTCTTTTATTTCCCCTATTTGCGCCTCACCACCTCACTTACACCCACACATTCCTATACAATAAATTATTATTACAATGTCCTGTATCTACTTTTAAAGCTTTTGCAATGAATTCGGGACCCACATGTAGAGTATACTTAAGTTACAGTATGCTACTTTTTACGTGTGGGCGCGTAGATTTTCTGCTGTAAGTATCAACAAGGAAAACAGTTTCTTAAGAGCGAAGAAATTTATTGCGGAAAAAACAATAATTAAAATACAAAATACCACACTAAAGTTTGATTAATAAATCCCAGAAGGTTTCCACACCTTCTACATGGCTTAGACACAACTATCAGCGTTTAAAAGTACCAGTACGTAAAACGTAAATTTCATTCGCAACCAACTAATTGCCAGTGAACTCTTCAACAGCCAAAGTAATACGTATTCAGTTTCAGTAAGCGACTGCTACTTATAGTCTGTTCAGCCTTCTTCCAGCTCTTACTTGAAAAATTCGCTTACGTCATTTATCGGGACGTTAACAGATTTATCCATTAATTTTTAGAATTGTCCATGTAATAATCGTAAAAATAATCGCCAAGTCACAAAAAAGGAAGCCAATCTGGTGGTAGTGCATATATTTCCCTAAGTTTCAATTGAAACATCATTGTAATGTAAGGGAATGCGTTGCTTCCGAATATTACAATGTTATCATAAAATAAATACAACAGTTATAAAAAAAAAATTGAAGTATTAAACATTCATAGATAAATTATTTACACAACTTTAAGCATTAAATACTCAAAATTCGTAACAATACGTTCATGATATAAGAATTTGTAAAAATGCAACCCACAGCAAATTTTTTCGTATTCAGCAAAAATTTATTACCTGATAAAATCAAGATCTGTTATAATAAGTTGTTGGTTCGCAAATATGTATAGTATAAAATTTATTACGAAACTTCAAGCTTATCATGACATACAAGTCTTGTACTTTCACCATTGGCTTTGATATTAGCACCATAAAGATTTCTACGTATACATTTCGCAAAACTTTGGTAGCCATAATTCAAAATTAAAATAAAAATTGGTATAGTATTTGATAAAATGCCTGTCCTTTTCCCCCAACTGCAAAATATTGTATGTTTAAATGATGATTGAAATAATAGATGATAAAATTATATTCCTTTTCAGAACTTCTTGCAATAAAATCTCAGAAAAAGTACACTTTCAATATTGCAGATGAAAAATGAATTTAAATTTAGAAAGGATTTTGAAATTAATACAGAACTCAAATTTAGGAACTAGTTTGATATTACGGGGCACACACCATGTTGTTGTTTTTTTTGTTCGCCAAGATGGGTGATAGCATTACATTATGGTTCCCTTGATATTTTGGCAGTTTTTGGAATGTTGCAAGTTTCCAGTACATTTTGTTATTAATGTTAATATATATTATGTAATTATTTTATTAATAATATAATATAAAAATACAATTATTATATGTGATCATCATAATATTCATATTTTATAATTGGTTTTTACTGTATTTATTTATAAGTATTATTACATATGTTATTTATTTAGAATTATTACTTTACACGAATTTTCTTATGAATAATTTTTATTTTACAATACGATGATTTTATTCTTTTTATAATTACTGTTAAAATATATTATTATTATATATATCATGATTTCTAGAGCTGTCACTGAATTAGATCAGAAAATTAGAGTTAAGCAATGCTTTATGGACCCACCTTCCCTGTACAGCAGAAATTTTTGACATAATAGGAAAAAAACAGTGACATGCTGAAAAGTTAAGCCTATTTTTAACACACGGGGATGATAAACCTGCCAACAGAGTAAAATGAAATTATGAAAAGAGAACATTAATGTTTCTCTCAAAAAGAGGAATATTAAGTAAAATTTCTGTAGAAAAAATTAGGATAAAACTTACATATAAAACTGAAAATCATAAATAAGAAAGTAGAAAAATCTTATAGAGAAATCCCGCGCTAAATGGTGTTAAAATGCGAATGTCAATACAAGAAAAAAACAGTGGCGCCATCTAGATAGTTTTATATATATATATATATATATATATATATATATATATATATATATATATATATATATATATATATATATATATATATATATATAAAATGTTTAAATTTTCAATCCTTAATAAAATATTTTGTATTCATCCATTCAAGTTCAAATACATATTTTTAAACGTGTAGGTGATGACACTCCATGTTAATTCATGTTTTTTAAAATAACGATTCATTAATTAAATTAGACAAAGAATAAATAGAAAAAAACAAAATAAATATTCGAACAGCATATACAGAAAGGAAAACCACGCGATGCCTCCCTATAGCGCAATGGATAGTGCGTTGAATTTCTCATACTAATTCGTGGGTTCGAATCCCACCTGGAATAGCTTAATTTCTGAAAATGTGATTTCTTTCTTTACTATGCTATTTTATTGGAATAATTAAATGTAACTGATGAATAAATATTAACAAAGAAAGCAAAATATAGTCTAACACCCTCTATAGAAAGGAAAATTACAAGGACAATCACTTTTTATTTGGCCAGTTAATATTGGGATTCTGTCATATGTATATACATATTTATTTTAATAACTATTTAATAATAATTAACTAAAATAAATTTTTCTTTGTTGACTTTAAGTATTAATTGACTTAATTCTTTTTATTACTTGTTCTCCTTCGCTATTGAACATCTGTCTAGTCCATATATATCTTGTAATTGGTAAAGGTAATGTTAGATGAAGAAAGGAAATATGTAGAAAATTAACAAAATGGATGAGTATTTACATCTTTTTGCAAAACATTTCGAAATTTCATACATTTCTTCGTATAATAATTTTTTATACAAGCAACATAATCGATCTCATTATATTTTATTGTCATTCACATTTAAATTTTAGAATTTATTTTGAAAAATGTTAATGGCATTTATTTTTTAATTATTCTAATTAATCTAAGTTATTGAGATTTATATTATGGTACTAAGGAATATTCAGGAAATACTAGATTAAAAAAAAAACCTTCAAGCTTCTCTTGGTACAGCCTTGCTGACAAAATTACGTTAAACGATGGCATCATAAGGTATATTAAGATAATATTCTTTTACTACCTACAAATGATGGGATAGGGTATCACAGCTGGATAGAAGCACTCATTTTGCTGGGGGAACTTTCGTCTAGACATCGGTAATCACTTATTTTCCTGTTAGATAGCTATGGATGGTTATATGGATGTTCTCGTTAAACGAAGTGATAGTTTTCCATTGAAATTTTGAAAATAAAAGCATAAGTATGCTCTATGAAAAGATTTTTGTTGAAAGGCCGATTAGAGAATTTGGTTTATTTTCAAAACATCAACCAATCCGAAGGGTTTTCAAGTGAATGACAAAGTATGTTCTTCATATTTTCATCTCAATAATTGTATTTAACCAGTTAACACAGACTCAACCTTTTTATCTGCTGGACCGCATACATATGTCTTCTATTTCACGCGGGCCGCATACATTTGTTAGTTATTTCACGCTGGCCGCAACATGAGGAAAAAGGGGGAGGGGAGGACATTGGAAATTTAAAATGCGGAAAATTTATCCAAATATTACAATTCCTGTCTTGATTTTTTTTAATAATTATTTTTTATTTTTGTCACTAACACTAAATATTAAAAGCATTTAAAAACACTCTTTCACAATATCTGCTTCAGTAAATGCTTTCATATGATTACCAATAATATAACAATCTTCATACGATGTCTTTGTTACCGTTGTGATATTACCACTGACAAAACTCTTTGTTGCTGTTTCAAAGATTATTCAAGAAAACCTATTTATCACCTCTTGAAAGAGATCTTCGAGGAGAAGTGTCATTGAATGATTCCTGTTTATTGCTGTTTTTTAAACACATCACTTTCGTGACAAATCAAACAATTACTAATCCATGTTTGTTTTTCACTACAAAATAGTCAACCTCAAAATCATGTCGACACGATATGTTTTCTTCGAATATTTTTTGCTTGCCAGATTTGAAAGATAGTTAAAAATTGGTTCCACCCATAAAATTGTCACGGGGGTGGATTGACTTTTTTGTATTTTACCACTAAACTTAATTGTTCCCAGTAGAAAACGAATATCAATTCATACCCGTACGACACCGACAACAAGAGGCAAAATTGATATATTTGATTTTTGACAAAACATTTCCCGCCAAATTTTTAATACAATGTTCTTAAGTAAATAAATTTCTCAGAGCAATGGGCCATGACCGAATCACTTAAAATGGCTCAGTGGGCCGGAGGTTGAGTATCTCTGAGTTAACCCCTTAACTGCCAAGGAAAAGTTACGACATTTCCCTCCCCCCCTCCAGTGCCACTGTTTTCTCCACAGGCGTGCCACATGGGCAGCGAACATGATAGCAATTGGAGAATAGAAAATGATACACTGAAAAAAAAATGCTGACCTATGAATTTTATCTCCTTCCTGGAATATACTCTTTCAAATCCCTCTTCCCCAATGCTTCTCCGAAAGTAAATCTTTAGAAGAACTGTCAGTGTCATGTTATTGTATTCCAATGCCGGATGACTGGTTTTAAAAAGAGCAGCACAATGCAAATAATTCCTCCTTTGGAAGGACGAGTATACACGTCCAGGACACTAAACACATCAGCTCAGTAGGACGTGTATATACGCCCGCGGCACTTAAGGGGTTAACAGCAATTGAACAGTATATTCCTAATGAAGCAATTGTAGGATTTTGTGTAATGACAACTATACTCGTGATGCGTAAAAAGTAGTTACTATTAGATATTTAAATTGTAGTTTTTGAGAAACACAAAATACATATATTCAAATTTAAAGGTGTTCAAAATATTAAGGAATTTAGAATTTAAAGAATCTTTACTTTATATATATATATATATATATATATATATATATATAAAATATTTATATGCAAGGGTTTTTTTAGCATAAAATTAAGGAAGAATGTTAAATTTTCAAAGCATTCTCTTTTTATGAAAACCTATATATAGCTTACATTTTTTTACATTGAACTAGGATTTTTGAAAAATTCACATTGTCTTCAGAGTTATAATCAATTGAAATTATAATCATGGTTTTATTCTTACACAATTTCTCTATTCTGATATATTAAAAAATATGGATAAATCAACTCCTAAATTGTATATTTTAAGACTCCTAGTTCAGACCCTTTAGAAAAGAAAACAAAATATATATATACATATACTTACTTTAAAAAGTTAACCACATAGCGGTATGATGCGAAAAAGATGGACAAGTTCTGCTTTGATTGACATTAAATGCTGCAAGTAAGTAGCTTGAAGTTTATTTATGAAACAAAACAAAGACACACACAAAGATAAAAAATAATATTGATTTTTCATAAATTATAAGATGACGTCCCATTTATGTCATTAAAAAAATGCGCTTAAATGCAAAAAAGTGACACTTATATAAGGTATGTGAGCATCCTCCACCTTCATACAAAGTGTACAGCCGGTGATCGATCATACTTCCTATGAGGTGATGAAACAACACAGAGTATAGTAACTGTCATTCCTCCTGTAGTGCAGTTCTAAATCTCTGATAGCAGCTGAAATTGGGAAATATCTACGTACAGCACGGCTAAGGACATTCCAAATTTTTTCAGTCGGATTAAATTTCGTTGAATAAGCATGTCATTCTCTTTATACCCGCAATCCCTTCACTCTCCAGAAAGTTAATAACGATGACAGCTGCATGATGACTTCCATTATCTCCCATTAAAATAACCGAAATACCAAATGTTGCAATGTACAGTTTTACAGTGGGGGGTCTAGGACTTCATCTTGATACCGTACACCTGTCTAAAAACTGTGCCTGTTGACGGGCAGGTTGGTGTGATATAATGAAATATCTGTCCGTACTATTATGCTTCCACCATGATGCCGGATGCGTAGTGTTCGGGGATTTTCTCGTGCCGATTGCGTGTGCCTTGTTCCCTCCAGACTCTTACACACGTATAACCGTATTTTGGGAAAATATGAACTCATCTGGGAACATACTATGTGGTCCCTAACGAGACACGGTACTATTCACGTGCTGGCATATCCACTGTAATCGTGCTCATTTGGATTGGACGGGTAAAGAAACATAAACTCAAGGTACCTTGGTGTACAGGCTGTCAAATGTATCTATCGACGAACATTACTGGCAGATATCGTCTTACCAATGGCTGCTGCAACCGTATATTTCACACGTGGGTAGGTCAATCTATGATTCCGATTGGTTACAACAGTAATACATCTATTTTTTCAAGTATTGTAACTCTTGGATGACCGGCTACAAGTCCTAGGACAACTGTTTGTCTTTTTTGGAATCATTTTCATAATTGAGAAATGGCGGAATGATGATCTCGGGAAAAAAGAAGCAACATTTGTTATAGACTGTTCTGTTTCTCACCAGTGCTCAGAATCTTCCGTTCGTCTTCGGGATCCAATAGAAACACGTCTAGATTGAAAACAAATCGTGAATGCTCTAAAAATCTTTCCTTAGAATTTGCATATGTATAACTTCTGTAACCCTTCACAGTGACGTATGCTTATACGATTGTCAGGATTGCATAGCTCTCGACGCAAAATCATGACTGCATGTTTCCTAACTGCATACTTCATTCTACCTTTGCAACAAATTTCGACTTCTTTACTTCTGACTGACTTACGAAAATTAACATTTCTCTGGGCTTAACTTTTGGAAGTGAGTGTATTATTATAAAAGAATTATTCGTAAAAGAAGAATGTTTTGAAACTTTGTTATTCATTCACTTTTTTAAAAAGTTGCAATTATGTAATTTTTTATTGTAAAAATATGGTTAAAACATTTTTATATGTAAATTCGAGTTTAGGGAATACTTAATATCTCAAAAAAGTCGTCCATTTATACGCGTTTTGAAAACTATGGGCTTGAACGTAGTCGGATACATAAAAGCATTGCATTTTGAAGCAAGAGTTTGAGGGGTATTGGCGATTCACCTCAAAATATTGAACCTTTGCTAATCCATGATAAAAACATCCGAGCTGACATCTAACTCTCTTAACTTCAACACAATACCAAAGGGAGGAGTTCTAGCCTTGACAGATGACACAACATATATTCGGTAGCACCAGGACACGAGAAAGAAACCACATCTGCGTTGTGATCACAGCTATGATGATTTGGCTCCAACGGCTTCCGATAAAGGAACCATGAGATGTTTTTTTTATCTTCATGCCATTAACATATTTCAGAAGTATAGAGTATCACTTAATAAAGTTAAAATACAATCAGTTTGCCTTTTCTCGTGCAATGTTAGACAAATATGTTTTATTTATACGATGTCATGAAATGTGTTTTATTCAA